CATGGTTATCCAAATTTATCTAGTTATTTTAATTTGAAATTAAAATAAACAAAGGAGGAACAGATCTTTCAAGAAAACACTATCAATTTAAACGGTAATAAGAAAAAAGGCATAGAAAAAAATAAAAATAATAAATTTATACTTAATATATGTTAAAACCTTCAATTTTTCAAAATGGACGATTAACAATGGTGGACAGAGGTAACTATCAGGAGGGAGAGGTGGGGTGGGCTGCGGTGGGGGAAGATGTCACGTGTCTTTATTTAATTTGTTATTTTGTCACATCATATATATGTGTATTACACGCACTTCTTCTTTTGACTAGGTGTCAGCAAAATGTTTGATAGGTCTTTATTTTTTTAAAATTAGAGTGTCTAATAGGTATTAATTAGCCCTAATTAAGATATCTAATGGAGACAACTTTAAGGGATCATCGATGACTTAAGCTATTTCTTGAGTGGTAAAATACAATGAAAAGAAACCTTTTATTTCTAATTCCTAACATTTCTTCGAAGAAACAAGATAAATATTCACTACAACATAAATACATTTATAACAAAAATTCATAAATTATGGCCTTTTGGTCTAGACAATAAATTGATGGATGGATATGTTCAAAGTCTTTCTGCTTTCTATTTATTAGCCCTCGTCTTTCTGATTGGTCATGTCTATTCTTTTTGTTCATTTCTAGTTTATTTGTTTTATTTAATTTATTATTACCATAAAGAACCAAATGGTAAGTAAATAAAAAGAATTCAAGATCTTGGGTGTTTGGTAAGATGGGAAATACTTTTTTAATAATAAGTAATTTCTTTACTTGCCTTTTGATGTTCGAAAAATAAATAGAAAACATTATTTAAGAAAGGGATGGGAGGAGACGAAATATAGAAAATGCTATTTATGAAGACAAAAAAATCCTAATTCTATTGGGAAGTAATTTTTAAAAAAATTTAGAGTTGAATATTTGAATGATAGCTCAACTTTAAGCAATTAACCACCTGTTTCACACAACTTTGTTTTGTCTTTTAAAAGTCGTCAAATTATATGTAATTAGCTTCCATGGTTATCCAAATTTGTGTAGTTATTATTAATGACCATTTTACTTGGAAACACAATTTGTGATACTTATTTAATGACATGACAACTATAAAAAAAAATTAAAAGTATTTTGAAAATCAAAATTCAGTACTTGTGTATGTTTGCTAATTTGCATATCAATTGTGGTTAATATACTACTATCATTTAGTATTACACAATTTTAATTACCACTCTTCCTAGCCAAACTTATAACTTAATTGTCCTAGTTTGTTAAAGTTGAGAATATTTAGAAAGGTCAACCTATTAAATGAAATAATTGAAAGTGAATTTAAATTTTTCTCCTTTCGAAGCGCCAATCGCATAGTGCAATAACCACCCAATGATAATCAAAACCAGACTCTGAACTAGCTACTTTGATCAGTATAACTCTTGCAAGGTCAATATTGAAGAAATTTTGAGCTAGCTACTTAACTGATTTTCAATTAATTCAAACATGGAAATGTTCTGAGAAAGTTCCTTAAAAGGCCATTTAATAAGGCAGGGACAAAACATGTACATTTTCTCAGCATGTATATTTTTTTTATATAATAAAAGGGAGTTTATGCCCAAGTATAATATATAATATTCAAGATTGAATATTATATATTATACTTGGGCATAAACTCCCTTTTA